CTGGATCGGGCTGCTTTATGTCATTTATGTAAATGATTTGGATGTGAATATAGACTGTGGTTAATAAGTTTGCAGATGACACCAAAGTTTGTGGTGTAATGGATTGTGAAGAAGGTTATCTGAGAGTACAGCCTTGATCAGATGGGCCAAAGAGTGGCTGATGAAGATTAATTTAAATAAGTGTGAGGTGTTGGATTTTGGTCAGGCAAATCAGGGCAGGACTTATGCACTTAAATAGCAGGGCCCTGGGGTGTGCTGCTGAGCAAAGCGAGCTTGGGGTGCAGGTTCATAGTTCCTTGAAAGTAGCGTTGCAGGTAGACAGGATAGTGAAGAAGGTATTTGGCAGCTTCCCTTCTTTGGCCAGTGCATTAAGTCTAAGAGTTGGGATGTCGTGTTGCAGTTGTACAGGACTTTGGTGAGGCCACTTTTGGAACACTGCATTGAAGTCTGGTCTCCCTGCCATAGGAAAGATGTTGATAAACTTGGAAGGGTTTAGAAAAGATTTACAAGAACATTGCTGTGGTTTGGAGGAGTTGAGCTATGGGAAGAGGCTGAATAAGTTAGGGCTATTTTCCCTGGAGCATCAAAGGCTGAGGAGATTTTTAAAAGCATGAAGGGCATGGATAGGGTGAATAGCCAAGGTCTTTGTCCCATGGTATGCTAGTCCAAACCTAGAGGGCATAGGTTTAAGGTGAGAGGGGAAAGATTTAAAAGGAACCTCAGGGGCAACTTCTTCATGCAGAGGGTGGTGCATGAACGGAATGAGTGGCCAGAGGAAGTGGCGGAGGCTGATACTATTACATAATTTGAAAGGCATCTGAATGGACATGAATAGGAAGGGTTTAAGAGGGAGTTTGGCCAAATGCTGGCAGTTGGGTCTAGATTAACTCAGGAGATCTGGTCAGTATGGATACGTTGGACAAAAGGGTCTGTTGCTTTCCGGTGTGACTGTATGACGCATCAGCTGATTGCCCCATAAGTTTCCTCAGTACTTTTCCTCGAGAGATTGTTATTTTGCTTTACTTACTTTTGATTCATATATTCCAACACATCTGAATTAAAATTTGTTGAAGATAAAATTTAAACAAATGAGAAGTATTACATACAAAACACAAGTTGAGCAACAGGTTGCAATACAGACAGTTGACACCTATGAATAAAGACTGAATTGATGAAACAGATGAGGATATTTTTCTTCAGAAAAGACTTAGGGGTATGAAGATCTTTATGAATGGGATGTTTTCACTTCTACAAGAATTCAAAACTAGTAACCTCAAATACAATCTAGTCACACAAACAATAAATTGGTAATCAAAGGGAAATTTCTTTTTACAGACTGCTTAGAACAAGTATATGAAAGAGATAGAATTAAAATGATACACTGAAAGGCTCAAATAAGATAAAAGGAATGGAAGGGGACTTGCATGTTGTACATGTACTGGCACTGTCAGTTGGGCTGAATGGTCTCTTTCTGTGTATGTTCTATGGAATTGGATTGCCTGTGGCAATGATCGATCATAGAATTTGATTCAATTTTAACAAAAAAGTGCTTGATCATATCATTAGCTTCTGGAAAAAGAAAGACAGACTTTTTTTAAAGAAAAAACTAAAATACAAACTCCAAATCTAGGAATTAAAATGAAGCAAAGATGTCCAATTAATGAAGTTCCCAAAAAGACACAAACTTCATGATTATTTGGTATGATAGTGAACGATAGATTTTGTTTTTGAAGTCTTTTGAGATTATGACCAAAAATTTTCCCATTTTTCTCTTTCAGTTTTTCTCATATTTACACAGGAGAACAATAGTGCTGGTTAATCACATATCAATTCTTTGTTGAATTTGGTAAGTGGCTTTACAGCTGGATACCCTTCCAATTGCTAAATCTTTGTTTACCTGCACTCTGGACTCTCACTAATACATGTTTGTTTTGTGCACTAACAGCTGCATCCTTTAGTGGGAGCAAGTCCTGGGAAAGGATTCAAACCTAGGGCTTTCTGTTTCAGAGGCAGAAGAGCTATCAACTTAGTTATCATGCTAGCTCCCAATAACATGGAAGCAAAATCATTGACTAATACTTAGAGTCATTAATTTTTCAGGTTCAGTTCATTGGTAGGTTTTCAGCATAAGATATAGCTTCCCTTGCACCTGGTTTGTTATAATTATGAATTTTTCCCACATAGCTAATCCAGTTGGTTTCCTTTTTGTATTTTGTCGAGAGTTCTGAATTCTGTTTTGACTCTCAGGAAGTTTGAGCAGGTGAAGATGCATGTTCATGCCACATTTATGCAATATTTCTATTGCATTCTTAACATAGCACTGCACATTGTGAGACAGAGATTTCATACCAGGGTATGCCCTTAATGATAAATAATAGATATGTTTGGGGTAACACTTTTTACATTTTATCAAAGATTTGGTGGGAGGGCAAAGAATAAATGGTTAACATTTCAAATGTTAATTTAACTATGTTAGGAATTCTGGAGTTGAAATATTCCAGATTCTAGTTTGTAGCTAATGAGCACAAACATTCAAGATAGTTGGAGCTTATAATGCCTTCAGTAACGATTGACTGTATATATACACTGTCTCAAACACCAAAATACTTATTAACACTTACATTTATCACAATTTGCAAAGCCAAGTAAATTATTTTGTTCACAATAGCGTTCCACAAATGGGAAGGTAGTGGCATAACCACTGGACTGATAGTTTCATCAAGACTAAGCGAATGTTCTGAAATTTGAATTCAAGGAAAATCTGTAATAAGAAGCTGTCCTGAAAGCTACCATGTAACCACTGTTGATTATCTTAAATAAAAACACTATCTGGGTGACTAAGGAAATCTGCCATCCTTACCTGGTTTTACCTACACGTAATTCCAGACCCATAGCAACATGGTTGGATTCTTGCCTCAGCTCTGGGCAAGAGGGGAAATGAAATAAATGCTGGCCTCGCCAACAATGTCCACATCCCATGAACGAATTTTTAAAAAAAATTCTGAGTCCTGATTTTCTAATGGCCAGATAATCGTTTCTGCAGCGTGAATTGAAGTTGTGCAACATAGGAGCCTCTAAGCAAATGGCCCAAAAACAGTTGATTCCAAGGAATAACTCCCTTACACCTAGAACATTCCCAAAGTATCCATTTAAAATCAGAGAATTCAGAGGGTTCCATTGCAGTTAAGTAAATAGTCAGTCATTCAGGCCTGAAGTTAAACTATTAAAAAAAAAACCTAGTTTAACTCATGAATAATTGTTCGCCAATTCTTCCAAATTACTACACACAATCTCACCTACACCTCCCCCAAGACCCTGGTGTCTCACTCCACCCTTTGGCCTGGCAGCACCTCAAGGGCCCAAAACTACTGTCCCCTGCCATCAGATCTGACAGTCTCACCAAGCAAATTTTGGGTCTCAGTCCCTAAACAGGTGGCCAGTGAGATTAGAGAACCGCATCCTATATTAGAGAAGTTTATTCAAGCATAGTATCTGCATCAATTGGCATTCCTGAACTAAAACTACATACGAGCACAACAGGATTCTATAGTTCACGGAGATTCACTTCCCATGTAATGAGGAACTTTTTTTTTGGCAGCTACCCAATTATCTGAATTATTCATAAGACACTGTATGAACGATGAAATTACTGGAGACCAATTTAAAACTTAAAGAATCAAAAAGAGGGTTATAATACCTTCAGAATGTTAAATGCCTGCAACAGATGAATACTTTAATTTGATCCACTATGATGCAATAAATTTTCAAGTGTTTCTTAAGTAAGTCCATATTTTATTAGATGCATATCTTCTAAAAATGCCTAATCGTACTCAACATTGCTAGATTGCCAAAGGGTTTTTAATAACCAGACTATAATCCAGCACAGTACAACAGTGTTACATGTAGCTTAATCAAATAACTAGCCCCAGTAAATAGTCTTTAGCAAATGGCCCCATTTAAAATGTGAGATTTTGTGATCAGTGCTAAATCCAACGTAACATTCTAGATATGTGGCAAGATTGCAGTTAATTTATCTAATGATAAAAGGCAAGAGCCATGTAGATGTTCTTGAGACACCCACTTTAAAACATTACTTGTATTGTGATGAGTTATATAAATGGACTAAGTTGTTTTCTATTTTGCATTAAAATGAAAACGGTGCAAAGTACGATGGTGAAAGATTTCAGAATCAATAAAGTCCTTTCCCTGTACTTTAGCAAATACTGGCATTTAGACTCAAAGCCACAGATCAAACAGGTTAACAGTTCTGAATCCAGTCATTGGGTCAACTATAATGGTAATTACTTGTATGTGTGACATCAGAAAGGAATTAATTATTGAATTATCCACTCCCACCTCAAGTCAACTTTAACACGCAAGTCAGATTTAAATCACATCACATGGTTCTATTTAGCTACTGTGTTAACAAGTCCTGAATGAGAGATTTCACGAAGTAGGGGGAGAAAACAAATTAGTTAACAGATTTTTCTGTAAAATTAATCTTCAAAATAAATACTTTTATAATTTTACCTTATCATACACACATTTCTTTGGTGAAATATGTTTCAATAGTTGCCATTTTTGAATTTTCATTCTATTAAGATCCATGACAGAATTCAAACAAAAAAAATAAATCTTGTTCACAAAATAGTCAAACACTTTGGCATGGAAATTAAGCTTACAGGATGAAAAAAAGTGCAGAATTCAGTTCCAAACAGTGAAATCCACTTAAATCTGCTATACATCTCTTGTATAATTAGTGGGACTTCTCAAAGTAACTAGGTTTCAAGTTGTCAAATAAAGTTTATTAAGTAACTTATATATTTAAGTTAAAACACACTGTATGCAAGATCAACAAAAGTCATATATTCCTATCCTTTCTTCGTCACTGCAGATCCTCTGTTGAGCAGTTATTTTATTTAACAATTTCAGATATCAACTCATGTAAAATTTTTAGTCAAATATTTATCTATTATTTAATAACCTGCATGTTTCAGAAAATTGGTAACTAAAAGCTACATTATAGGCTATCACTATATTGCAGTGGTAATAATTCTGTTTTTGGTTAAAAAATAAGTAAACAGAATAGCTACAAAAAATGCTTCCCTTCTATACAATTCAATGCACTTTTCAGTGGGAATCCACATTTTCCACAGTGATGCATCTTAATGGTGTCCTTCAATTTTCTTGTTCATATACCAGGATCAGTGAGATCCATATTCGTTCCAAAAAGTTCCACTAGTTGCTCCTCATAATTTGCAATGTTTCTCTTCATTATATCCATACAAGGACCAAGCAGTCGCTCAAAAGCTTGCACATCCATAACTGTAGAAAAAAATAAATGGCCAGGCACAAAAAAAGAAAGTTATTCTAACTTTAAAAGGCTTAGCTACTGACATTTCACATCTTGTTTGCTCTCATAGGGCAAGGGTTCTCAAACTGGGGTCTGCAGAGCCCTGGGGGCCTTCCTAGGGTCTGCAGAGCCCTGGCAGCCTTTCTGGGGTCCACGCTTCATGGTTAGCCCATAGTGGCCATCGCAGACATCATAGCCACGAGTAAGGAAGTGAGCTATAGCTTTAAGACTGCTGTTGACCACTCCCTTAATGATTTCTCCATGTTCTGAGCTGTGCTGCTACCAAAAAGCAGACAGCAAAGATGCCTGCTACTGTAGGTAAATAATTATTGTCTTAGCAATACTGTAATTGAATCAACTTGTTTGGACATATGGAACTTGAACACAGACTTTCTGACCCACAGGCAAATACATTGCCACAGTGTCATAAGGGCCCTCAGAAGCACTGTTATGAGCAAAATAAAAATATTTCACTGCTCATTCAATTGGGTTTTATACAATAGCCTGTATACCAATTGTTCTTTTGAAAGAGTGACTGAAGAAACATCTCAATATGTATTTCCTGAGCATGCTCTGTCTGCAAGATTTTAGAGACAACTGCGTGTCACTAATTACAGAATATCGGAGAAACAGCCTCTAGAACATTCTAAGCTTTATCCTTTTGCCCTCAAGGATAACTCATGGCCAAAGTATTTGTTTTTCAGAAAGCCAATCTCTGCAGAGAAATTTGATTTGTCCCTCTTTTCCAAAAGAGAGTGAGTATGTTTTGGAACTATTTAGAGAGATAAGTATTTATACTTCTAAACTACCAATTGGGAATGCTTACCAATTGTTGCATTGTCATTTAATAAAACTTTATTTTGGTAATACATCAATAATTGTGTTTATTAAGAAACCTGATTGATACATCTAGTTGTCTAAAACCTAATACAGATAAATTGTTCAATTGGCCATCTGGGTAACTGGAACAATGATCTGATTTTATGTTGGGAACACCTAAACTAGTGGGATGACAGAAACTGTACACTCCTTCAGTGTCAGTCAGAACAGCCTCGGCAACTGAAACCCTGGCTGATTATTTTCCTAATTCACACTGTAGTGGTGATATTTATTGCCAAAGAATTTCAATGTGAGCTTCAGAACTTCAGTCTCTGTCCAGCACTTACAGGGAGGACAACATAATCATTTCCTCTCAATTGGAGGCTTTCATAACTAGATTAGGAATTATGACTCAAGACCATAAGAGACAGATTACACATCAATTTACTTTTAAAATAGTTTTTCATTGAATTAACATTGTTTTCCAGTTGCCATTTTAGAAATAATTGTTTAAATTGTTCCCTGCAAATTGAAAATACTGAATAAGTTTATGTGGACCAAAAAATACCAATGTGGTCCTGTGGTCCAAATTGCCTATTACTCTCTGCAAATACCATAAAACTGATTAAACAACAGATTAAAACCAACTTCCCCAAAATAGCCCACGTGCTACAATCAAGAGACCAAATACTTTCTTTCATACACATTATAGCCATTTGGAAATAAAGAGAGGGTGGTTTCTTATTGTGATTGTATTAACTGCTTTTGTTTAAGGTTTCTGATCATCGTCCTTCTCTAATAAGGACAGAAGAAATAGGAATGGACCTCCCAATCCCTTGAACATGGTTTGCTATTCACTTAAGATCATCTCTGATCCTCTGTTGACTTGCTTTCCTGGATCCCACATGTCTTGACTTATTTAAATGTTCAAAAATATATCAACTTCCATCATGAATTTACTCAATGATGGAGCACCATCTCAAAGATTTATCAATCTCAAGAGTCAATTAATTTCTTATTAGGCCAAAATGACTGATCCCTAATCCAACGACCAGAAGCTGACCAGAAACCTAGCTGGATTTGCCATACAAATACAAGTCAGAGGCTAAGAATACTACAGCACTTAACTCACCTCTGACTCTCCAAAGCATGTCCATATCTATAAGGCACAAGTCAGGAGTGTGTTGGAATACTCCCCATCTGCTTGGATGGGTGCAGCTCCAACAACACTCAAGAAGCTTGACACCATCTAAGACAGCAACCATTTGATTGGCACCACATCCACAAGCATCCATTCCCTCCACCACTGATGCTCAGTAGAAGCAATCTGTACTGATTAAAATTTGCAACACAGAAACTTGCCAAATATCCTTATGCAGTATCTTCCAAGCCCATAACCACTTCCATCAAGAAGGACAAGGACAGCAGATACATGGGAACACCATCATTTGGAAGTTTCCCTCCAAGCCACTCAACATCCTGCCGCTCCTTCACTGTTGCTGGGTTAAAATCCTGGAATTCCCTCCCCAAGGGCATTGTGGGTCTACCTACAGCGCATGGACTGCAGTCGTTCAAGAAGGCAGCTCATTACCCACTTCTCAAAAGGTAACTAGGGAGAGACAAGGAAAGTGATGCCCACATCCCAGAAGTGAATAAAAAAAGACCTTCCAGAATTTTATACATTGCAATCAGATCACCTCAATATAAACTTCCAGAGAATTTAGGCCCATTATAAATCAACCTTTTCACAGCACAACCCCTTTGTATCAGAAATTATGACAGACTGCAAGCAAAGAAGATGTGGTTCTAAGGACTGATGTGTGTAGTGATTGTAACAAGGTCAGCTCATAGAATACGAGTTCCCTGATTGGACCAGATTAACAGCCCCAAATAGGGATCCCTAGCTGAAAGATGTAAACAGGAGTGTCACAGGCTCTGTTCACATCGTCGGTTGGCTCTGTGGGAGCTGGATCATTATCAAGGACTCTCCACGTGTAAATGAAGGGCGACTTGGAGACGGGATACTGACCTCTGTGAAGTTAGTCCAATGTGTTTTGCTTAAATATATATTGAAATTATTGTCTGTTGCACTGTAATCTTCAATATAGACTAGTAACCAGAAAGACAGTCTGCACCATCTATTCATCAGAATGTTTATGGAAATGTGAGTAATGAAATTAATCATCAGCACAAACATAATAAATTACAAACTCCAAATGATTGCCAACCAGGTCCAATAATTCAGTTTTTAGTGTTTGTTGCTTCAAACTACCTCTTGATACACCTTTTTCAAAAAAAAAAAATCTGTCACATCAATCACCAGTCAAAGTTCATTTTCAGAAGTCACACGTACCTATCATGTTATTCCAGTTACTTGGTTTGTCTCCAGCATTGCCTTATTTTTAATTTTTTGCAATTATTTCTCTGCCTCGTTTAATCAGAGTATAGATCATCCCTTTGCTGGTTATTCAGCTGTTGACACTTTACTCACTGTCCAATGTTCTTGGTCACCTGCAGAGACTTATTATCTGACACTCCATTCACACCAGTTGTATGATCTTTTGATGTCTCTGCCTATAAATTCTGTGTTGGTGTGCTCTTTCCTCTCACTGCATCTGACGAAGGGACTGTGCTCCGAAAGCTTGTGATTTCAAATAAACCAGTTGGACTATAAGCGGGTGTCGTGTGACTTCTGACTTTGTCCACCCCAGTCTAACATCGGCACCTCCACATCAAAGTTTATTTTGGCAAGGGCAAATGTTTTAAGGTTTTAGAAAAAACATGTATTAGTGTATTGCATTTAATGATGGATTAATGTTTGAGTGTAACCCTAGTGTATTGCCAATCTGTGTCACTCCTAAAACTAATTTAATGTAATTAAATCAGCATACATACAAATCTAGCCAATTTCACACTACTCTATGCACTACAACTGGATTCAGTATGGGGAAAAGCTTAGTTGGTGAGTTAATATTAATTTGTTGAAGGTCAAATATACTTCCCGTGGGTATAGTGTAGTTGTATGTTGTAAATGATTTGGTTCTGAAATCAACAGGATGCATCTGGGATTCAATTCACAATGAAGGGTGTCAGGACCTGCAGGTATTGCAGTTTTCATCACTACTTCCTTAAATATTTAAAATAGATTTGACCCTGGCAGGATAAATAAATTTTGGTTTAGAAGGGATATTACAGTGCACTTTATTAGAACAGAAGTATTTGGGCTCCTTAAAACGATAGAAACCCATGCTTAAAGACAGTTAAGTGGTTGGATACAGAAGTCACTGTTGAGCAAAGATCTTGGAGGTCTGCACAAAAGGTAAAAAAAAACCTAGGAGGAACACTGGGATGTCTGCTTAAGGCTGCAGGAGGAACTGACAATGAGCGGGGGAGGATGTAGTCACCATGGTGCATGCAGGTACCAATGACATTGGCAGGACAAGGACAGAGGTTCTTCTTAGCCAATAAGTTGAACTGGGCTTCAAATTAAGAACCAGGGACAGAATTTTCCCACATCCTGAATAATGTGAGCAGTTGGCTGCAAAATAAAAATGGCAAGATCACAAACATTAGATTCCTGACACCAAGAAAAATAAAGTCCAATTTTCTACTCAAGGTGGAATTGCAAGGGGAGAATCTAACTAATAAAGGGGCAAGAGGCCTATTTGCATGCATTAACATCTTGTTATTACACAGTGGCACAATGGTTAGCACTGCTGCCTCACAGCACCAGGGACCTGGGTTCAATTCCAGCCTTAGGCAACTGTCTGTGTGGAATTTGCACATTCTCCCAGTGTCTGCGTGGGTTTCCTCCAGGTGCTCCGGTTTCCTCCCACGGTCCAAAGCTGTGCAAGCTAGGTGGATTGACTATACTAAATTGCCCAGTGTTAGGGTGGGTAATGCAAGGATAGGGTAGGAGCTGGGTCTGGTTGGGATGCTCTTCAGAGGGTCGGTGTGGATTCGATGGGATGATGACAACGACGACCACCTAACCTTGCCTCTTTTATATGTACTTTGCTCTTCTCCCATGCAGCAGAGTGAAACAAGGTGACAATTGCCAACATGAAAGTCAGACCAGGTATCTAGCAGCCCCAGATCGCTGCTTGATCGTCTGGACCTTCACCTTGGCCAGCATCTCAGGGCATTCTCCATGGGCAGTGACTGCCTGCATCCTGCTGCCACAGTGGCTGGCATTGGACATACATCATCATGACACATCTCCAACTCACAGAGTACAGTTCTCCACTTCAATACTTTGAAGTACAAATACACCTTTCTTAGCAATGTTAATGCCAGACCACTTTGTGCGCACAGTATGCAGCCCATTTCATGTGCTGGAGCAGGGTCCATCTCCGGCCTTTTCATTTGCTGGCTTAGTGCTCTCTTGGATATTCATGGATCTGTGTCTTGCCTTGAATATTATACGCTTTACTGCCTCATTCAGAACTTAAAGCCTCACAGTAGTTCTGTCAAGCCTTGCCTTATAGCAGTTAGCAACTGTGATGCCTATCAGCAGTGTTCACTCAAAGGATTGGACATGATATGTTGTGCAGAAACATGATACATCAATGTCATACTTGTACAGCGTGTGCCAGCAACTTACATGACAAACATATAATGTGCTTCAACCAAACAGCAATGTCTTAAAGTCTAAAGAGAGTCACCCTCAGTCAGGTCAAGGGGCAACGGTAGGATAGCATTTCTTTTCAGCCCAGGGGACTTGGGCACAATCCATCAGTTGCATGGGATGGTCAGGGTCAGGGGTTCCATATCATGAAGTGGGCCACAGTTAGTTCTGCAGATCCAGTGCAACCAGTTGGGGATTTGCAGCAAGTCCATCAGGGAGCTGTACAGAGATCAATCACAGGCCTGATCACTCATCATGTGGGGCTGTCCTTGCAAGTTGGTCAGTGGGGTGAGCCACGGTCCTGGGGGAGCTGTTCACTGAAAGTCAAGGCAAGTTATCACTGCGACAGGGAAATTGCGGTAGTCGATAATGGGAATTGGAGGCAGCATGCTGAGATGCAGAGGGACAATAACTGTGACAGGGGGCAATTGAACATCCAAGATTGGGAGACAATATTATAGTGCAAGACAAGTTCCTGTGGAGGGGCAGTTTGGTTGGTCAGTGTTCATCACCACCCTGCCTTCAAGGGGGGACACAGTGAATGATGATGGTTGGCATGGCTATGTTGTAGCAGGGATAAAGTTGGGTTTGAAGACTTGAGTGAGAAATGTGTAGAAACTCAACAATCAAGTCATTAGGGACAGCAAGGAAGAAAAGGGACATGAAAGATTGGGGGTCCCCTACATTAAAGGGGCTAAGGATGAGACTGACACTGCAAAGTACGTCCCGTGTTGCTTTCCATCCTCGGCTGATTTCCATTTGTACAATGGAAAATGAAACATGGCTGTGACCGCATCCAGAGTGCATGGAGTAAGTAGTTTTTTCTATAAGAGTATGTGGACTCTCCTTGGGAGCAATGTGAGGCCCTTCAAGAGACAATTGCATCAATTAGGCTTCCACAGTATAGGTTGAAGACATCTGTAATCACAGAGTCCTGCACGCTGAGACCAACTATGAGATACACAAATCCTAACCACAAGCAATCTTCACCATGTCATTACAAATTGACTACAGTTATCTCTGAAGCAGAAATAGCCACAGGCAACCTTAAAAGTAGCATCTGCAGGTCCCAATTCACAAAGACAATAGAAGGCCTCACAAGCTACACAGAAGGTACTGAATCAATTGCCTCTCACCTTGAACTGCAAGTATTCCTCAACATGCTCTTATATGAAATATTGTCTTTCTTAGATGGTGGTATGAGGGGCAATGTGTCAGTAATGTAACAATCTCATTCTATTGGTGCAACGTAGTTTGTGCTGCATACATCAGAATGAAGGTCTACTATGTCAAAGATCCATGTACAGGCGTTCCATGATCCACCTTGTTGGACTCCTCCATCTTGCATACTATTGAGGATGAGGCGCAACCAGAGCAGGGGTTATCATTGCAGTGGCCGCAGTGCAACAAACGCACAGAAAAATGGGAGAACAAATGAGCCAACAGCACCTCTTCTAGAAAGTGCTGAATACATGAAGAAATTAGTCTCTGGTCCTATCAGGATGCGGAGGAGGTCTCTCACCCTCGATGCCATTTTCTCCAGATGAACGAGTAGCATTACTACCACACATGGAGGATATCATGGGACACCGTCACAGAACTGTGTCAGCTGGAGTGGGACCAGTCACCGGTTCTGGTCAAGCTGACAGCGGAGTAGGATACTCCAATTGGAGCTCCTCCACTCCTGTCCCTTCTCTTTTATCCTTCTTTTTCTCTCCCTTTGGTCTCTCAAGGGGTCCCAGCCTGGTCTCACGGCAGCTTTCAGCCTGGTCTCTTGTAGTAAGTTGGCTGGCCTCAGCAGCGACTCGGCTCAGTGAATGAGTGGATCCTGCCTGGGCGTGTCCCGAGACACCAGGGAGATCAGAGTGGTGGCAGTTTCAGCAGGAGCGATCATATCTGCGACTGTGGCGTCCAGAACAGACAGCAGAGCGAGATAAGCAGAGGACTCAAAGACTGTTGAACTTAACTTATTCCTTTATTTTCCTAGTTTAAACTATGAAAGACTTTAATGTAAACAATTACCTATTTGTTTATTTTTCTACTATTCTATGAAGTAATGCTTAACTTTTTAACTCTTGTTTCTCTTACTATTTTGTACCAAAGCTTTTCTTGTACCTTGGTACCTAAGATAACACCATGTGTGGTGACATTATACACTTTTCACTTCACTCTTGTACTCAGTACACATGACAATAAAATCTAAAACCTAAAACCTAAAAATCTATGACATGATGGGATGGGTAGCCATCCTAACCCAATAGCTGTCAAGGTTAAGGTACGCATAGGCAGCAGGAAGCCTATGCAGGATCTCAATCCTCAACACACAAAGCAGTTACCAGTGCAATTTCTGACAGATCACATCAGTTCATCTAGTTTTCCCATGATGAGATCAGTGCTGCAACTTAGGCAGTAGGCTTTTCTAACACAGGCAGCTACCCCCAAGTGCAAGGCATTTTAGACTGTACACAGTGTACACGTTTTAGACTTGATCAACAGAAAAGGGCTTCATTAATGTACGAAGACACTGCCATCATCAGTACCACATCTTACAATGCCTATGCCAGATACGGTGGAGGCCGTTATAATGCCTGTATCCTCTCAAATTCTTAGTCCTGCTTTGTTTCAAGAGCATGATGCCTTAAAAGAATGGTTACTAAGATTAGGGCAACCTTCTGTAACCCTGCCTGGTGACTCCATTACTTAACCCCCGATTGAAGTGGTATAGACACAAAGCAGCCCATTCCTGGAGTAGACAATAGCCTTTTTTGGGGGCAGGGTGGTGATTGTGGCAGCAAGCTGTACTCTGCACAATTGGAGCAACCAAACGGGACGTGATGGATACTAAAGAACTCGGTGAGCGGCAGCACTCTTCCAAGGAGGAAGATGATGACATTGAGCAGGAGCAATATCATCTTCAACATAAAGTCCCCTGGGTGCTTTATAAATACACAAGAATGCCATTTGGGCTCTGTAGTGCCCTGCAATCTTTCATGAGTATGAATAAAGTTTTTGGAGACAAAAACAAAGTTGCTGGAAAAGCTCAGCAGGTCTGGCAATCTGTGAAGGAAAAAACAGAATTAATGTTTCGAGTCTGGTGACCCTTCCTGTTTTTTCCTTCACAGATGCTGCCAGACCTGCTAAGCTTTTCCAGCAACTTTGTTTTTGTTCCTGATTTACGGCGTCTGCAGTTCTTTTGGTTTTTATAAAGCTTTTGGAGACCTTAGCTTCCAGTTCCTTTCAAGAGAGGACACCCTTGAAAGACTAGACACTGACTTAGACTGTCAGGTTTAATTTCAAAGTCAAACCAGAAAAGTGCCAACCTTTCTGGACAGAAGTATGGACCCTTGGACACATTACTCCTGATGGAGAAAATCTTAGCCGTATAAGAGTAGGCTCAAAATAAAACTAAGAGGAAACTAAATAGGTTTCCTGGTCTGTTTACCATAGAAGGTTTGTACAAGGCAAATGCTGATGCTCTTAGTCAGACGACTGACCACATGACAGAACCCACCCTTGCCCAGTTGGTGGGGGCTGTGACTGACACTATGGTCATGCAATTCCCTGTGACATTTGGGCTAAGATTCAGGTCCAAACCAAATAGAGCCAGGTATAGTTTCACTTTTGCCATCTAACTCAAAAGATGGTCTCTGACATCCTCAGCCAACTGACATGGACATCAGTAAATTGCACCTCTACTGGACGGCCCAACATCCTCCAAACCGTCACCAGCTGATGAAGGGTCCAAACAGGCACAGAGACTGAGCTGCTGCATGAAGGCGGAATCCTTTATCAGCTGGTTCATAACAAGGAGAAAGCAGTGAGGCAACTCATTCTCCACAGCCACAAGTGTTAGTGGCAGTTCATGATCAAATGAACAGCAAGCAACAGAAAAGACGGACACGTTGACCAGAAACTGGAGTTACTAGCAGGGGCTGATTTCTGATATTGTTGACAAGTGAACTTTGGCTAAAGTAGAGAAGTGACTTTACCTCAGCATGGGAGCCCTAGTTAACAAGTGAACTCAAGTGGTCTTTGCAATGAATTTTACAGATGGAGCCCAACACTAACAAGACCAGGCATGTTCTCGTACCTATAGCTGTCTTCAAGTTCACCACTTTATAGCGAATGTTGATACATGATTGGTTTGTCCATTTTGGTGTTCTATATTGGGTTCATCACGATCGGGGCAGAACTCTGAAAGCCAGATCTTCCAGGAGCTTGGCAAAGTCTGTGCCTTTGCCGAGAGCTGGACCACCTCCCGGCATCCAGAGAATGATAGACAGGGAGAACCATACTCTGCATAAGCATCTGCGCACTTTGCCTCAACACAGGTAGCCAGAGGACTTTCCGGAGCTGGTTTTTAATAGCACCCCACAGTCATCCAGAGACTGTTTGCCATACATTTTCTTTTTTGGACAAGATCTAATCCTTTCCTTGGGGCTCATCATACCAGGTTAATGATTGGATAGCCAGGTTTCACAGCAGGCTTAACCATGAAATTCAGGATGGTGTCCAGGAGGACAGAGAGAAGCAGCCAGTAGAAAAGCATTGAATAATTATAAAACTGACAGGACTGACCTTTCAATCAGGTAATCGTCAAGTCAGCACATCAGGGGCTGGAATGAGACACAGAATGTCTGGGATCCTCAACCCAATAGAGTCAATGTGGCTGGTCACCCATGTTGTTGGGGAGATCTCTCTCAGCCCCGAAGGATATCAGAGGATGACCTGCCAGAAGGTGACAACTGAAGGAACAAGCGCTGCTGTTCACATGACACCTGAAGACCAGACCAACCTAGCTCCAGATTGAGTGCCTCACCAAACAGTTTGTAAGAAACAAGGAGTGAAAGATTATCTCAGTCGGTGGGAATGTGGAGTAATCAGATCAGCTATAATCCTCCCAAATGGTGAAGCAGGCAGAAGGGGCTGAGTGGCCTACTGCTGGTCCTAATTTATATGTTTGTGTAAAACTATTGACATGAATAAATACAGAAATTACAACACAAACAGATCATTTGGGTGAGCTAGTGTATGCCATTATTTATGATCCACTCTATCCTCCTCCCACCTGATCATCTCCTTTATATTCCTTTCCCCTCCCCCACAACTGCTATCTCGCTTCTTCCTGAACATATTTGTGCTGTTTATCTCAATTACTCCAAGTGTGAGCAAGTCTCATTCCAATCATATACGGAGTGAAGAAGGCTCTCTTCAGAATGCTGTTTTGTGGAGAGGAATCCCACACTGTTTACACTTCACGCATCATGATACATCACTTGGTTCTAGTATCATATTTTGTTCCCCATTTTCTCCAGTACCACATCTATTTTGTACAGTGGAGACCAGGACTGTACATATTATTTCAAGGTATAGTCACCAACATATATGTAACTGAGTCTTTGCTTTTTGATTTATTCCTCCAGAGTAATACACTCAGGTCACAATTAATTCATGACATTGCTAATGTGTGAAATTTTGCGATAATCATTCACTTACAGCAAATTATTTCAACAGAAAAAGTATTTGACAAATTTCCAGGAAACCATTAACCAGAGGTTCCGCACTCTTTTTTAATGCCCCTTAAATTGCTAACAACTTACCGAGACATTTCACATTTCCTACAGCGTAGGCAGATGCTGCACGTGGCTGATTTGCCACCAAAGCAAGTTCTCCAAAGTACTGCCCTCTTGAACAGCGAGCTATTTCCACTCCATTGTCTGCATCAGGTTTGGTCTATATTAAAAGAAAAAGGAAAATGAATATTCAATACTTGCAAATGTAGCTAACAAAATTTGATGAAACAAATATTAAGTGATGGCTACACAGATTCTTCTTGACAAGCCGAGTGTCAAGAGCAGTTCACAGTTAGATTATGGAACATATAGAGTTTGATTTTTGATCAAATGTTCATGCCCAGATTTAATCAACTTTTATTCTTTCCACAGATGTTACATGCTACATACTCACTGCTTCCAATATTTTCCATTTTGGAGAAGAGCTTCATACCACATTTCTATGGCCGCTGATTTTCAGCTTCCTAACATTGACCAACTTCACCCATCTCAAAACAACTGTTGCTAAAACAACCAATTATAGCTTTGTTGCCTCTAGACTTGACAATTCCAACACACTTTTGGCTGGTCAAATGAAGTTCTATTCACCCATGATCTCTGTATTTGCAGGCCTACTTTGGCTCCTAGTCAAGCAACATCTTGACTTTAAGATTCTCCTCCTTATTTTCAAATCTCTCCATTGCTTCACCCCTCCTTATCTCTATCACCTCCACCATCCCCACAACCAAAATTGAAGTCTATACTAATCTAATTTTGGCTCTGTGAGCATCTCTGATTTTAGTTATGTTACCATTAGGAGCTGGGTCATCATCAACTATCTAGCCCCCATGCTCTGGAGTTCCCGTCCAACACATCCCTGCTCCATTTTCCTAATTTAAACCTTACCTTAAACCCTACCTCTTTGATCACGCCTTTGGTTACGTGACATAATCTCAATTAGAATTTTTAAAAAATTTTGTTTTATAATGGTGCTGTAAAATACCTTGGGACATTTATCATATTTATATAATGTCTTTAATGTAATTTTCAGATCTTCAGCATCTATGTGTTTTGTTTTTAACAGCAATTAATCTTGTTCAAAACAGAATAAAGTAGCTAAAAAATAACTTGCTGTATTAGAGGCTAAATACACAAAATTTGGATATAATATTTCGCCTGCTATTTTATTGAAAGGTACTGAACCAGTTTATTATAACTGTCCACATTAAAATAGTAGACAGAAAATTTTCATAGCCATACAAATATTTATTTGTTAATAGCAGGAATTTAAAAGTCAATTCTTAGCATAAATAAAACTCTGTTGGAAATCAGTTTCCCTGCAGAAGCTCATGGAGAAGTCAATTTCTTGAAATCAAACTTTAGGCAAAAAGTAGGGGGTCAATATATATAGATGAATTATATTTTTGAAAGTTGGAAACCCATGCATGTACAGTACTAACTCTCCCACTGTCACACGCTTCCTCTCTTTCACCACTGCATTCCCAGGTCCTTCTTCACATGGAGAGCTCAGGGAGAAAGCAGCAAGTAGGAGTATAGGGAGGAGGAAGTGGCAAGCAGGAAGGTCAGGAGAGGAACAACACTAGCCTGCAGAAGAGGCAGCACATGGGTGGCAAATATTTTGGCCAAAAGTTGGGCAATGACTTATACATAAGATATTATGAAAAGTTAAGGGTTTTTTTGGCAGTCAACACTTTGCATACAATTGACTATTACTCCAGTATGTACGCTAAATGCTAATCCTTAAATCTTAATTTTGTTTAATTGAATAGTGTTTACACGAGTAGCACAAAGAGAATTTATTAAGTGTATTTGCTTTCCACCAATGTTATAGTTAATTGATGTAATTCTTGTTTTATATTACCTGTTAACTGAGCAACTTTAGGACATGAATTATAATCCAAGTGTTCGCGAGTTTCAAATACATGCTAAAGTAGTAACTTTGGAATTTAAAAACCTCCATAACTAAAAATCAAATTTTGAATTTGATTTGATGTTAATCTTTGGTGTTCCCTCTTAATCAAGTTTTAAAGAAATATTTTGAAGTTGTCATGAGCCTCTGTTTGAAATCGGAATTTCTATTCTGCTACACTACACTATATTAATAATCTTGGAAACTCCTTCTGCAGGACATTTGGAGGGAGACATTTGCAGATGGGGAAAAGAAAGCAATCATTCATTCTCCTGAATATCCACATTACACACTTTGTAAGAAAACCATTCCTACAAAGTAACAAATCTCCTACAGCAATTTAGCCTAATTCAAGTCATGTTCAATAAATGCTCAGTACAGAAATTTACGAATGAATGTTTTGTCAACACAAAAATGTTGAAATAGATGGAACGTAAACTTCAAGTTAAGTGAGCCACTCAGTTGCTTTCCGAGCATCTGAAAATAGCTACACTTCCCATAGTTAAAACAAAGTATTTGGTAATAGGATAGTGACGATAACTACATCCAGAATATTGGGTAGTTGGGGTGAATTACAAATTTGTAACTGCTTTAAAATCAGCATGCTCAAGTGAAGTCTTATGTCCACTATGTTTCATGATCATCTGCTAATTTACATCAATATTAATGTGGGTATTTTAATTCATCATTAATCTGCGAGAAGAAATTTTATTTGATGAAGCAGGCTTTCCTCTTTGAGGGACAGGATAGTCTGAAGGAAAAGGGAGTAATGGGAAGAAACCCAGACTATACCTACATTCAGGTGCAAGTGTTAAACAGCTTACGATCAAATAGAATGTGTCAACTGAATAAGTGTTAACTGAAAAAAACAACATTGTACATTTGGAATGAAAAATAAATTGTGCAATTAGTACTTCAGTTTATCTTTCTAAAAAAAAACTTGAGTGATTGTATTTACCTTGTGTTTCATAGTTATCCGAACTTCTCCAGATTCTACAATATAAAAACAATCAGCTTTGTCTCCCTAAAGGATGAGAAAAAGTCAAATTTATGAATAATGAAACAATGAAACAATGAAACAATGAGTTTAAGAGTTAAAAATTACAGGATTAAAATTATTACAGCACAGGAGGCCATTCAGTCCATCAAGTCTACGGTTCTCCTCAGTCTTGCATGTTGATTTCTCAAGTGGCTATCCAATTTCCCTTTGTAACCTAATTACCTCTACTTTCAACAAAAAGTTCCAAGTCATTACCACTGAATAAAGAAGTCTAACATGCATGCCATATTTCCTATCCAAAACTTTAAATCAGTGTTCCTAGTCTGTGCGCAGGCAGCTACTGGGAACAACATTTACATAAAATTATCTAAACCTGCCAATCTTGCACATCTCAAATCAGATCTCCCCTCAAACTACTTTGTCACAAGGAAAACAAACTCAAATTACCACAGTCTACCCTTGTAACTAATTTCTTTTTAAATCATTAACAGGATGTAGGTGACTTTGACTAGACTAGCATTTATTACTGAGAGGCCAGTTAAGAGTCAACCACATTGCTGTGCTTCTGGAGTCACATGTAGTCCAAACCAGGTAAGGATGACAGTTACCTTTCCTAAAGGACATTAGTGAACTGAATGGATTTTTCGAACAAATGACAATAGTGTAATGGTCATCATTAGACTCTCAATTCCAGAAACTCATCCATTCGGAGAACTATTTTGGTAAATATATGGTACAAGTAACTTTGACACATAAGTAGTGTCAATGGAGGGTAATGATCTTCGTGGTATGTACAAAAAAAGACTTGGCTTCTTCCATTGGATGGATATAAATCAATCAATCTCACACTTTTCTCATAATAAACAGGAAAAATTACCAGGAAAGAACAGCTACCCACTGTTCTAACGCTGGTAGCTCTATGTGATTAGATCTTGAACAGAAGGTCCAATTTGTAATTTCTTACTATGATCCAGTCTTGTTAAGCTGGGATTTTTTTTTTGTGGGTTGGGAATGGTGCAGGGAGGGAGAGGAAGAAAAGCACACATGAAAAGGAGAGGAATGAGTGAAAGCAGCAATTTAAAGACTTCAGTGGATCTCTAAGGGGTGACAAAGGAAATGCCACTAACAGTTCTAACAAACGCTGCAAAGGGAAGATGGACAAGGCTATTGCATTTTCAATATTACAACTGGGCCACACAGCATGGAAGGAAACACAGCTGAGTTGATTTTGATTTTATTGTCACATGTACTGAAATACAGTGAAGAGCTTTGTTTACAAGCGGTATAGACAGATCACAACAAGCAAGGATGTACAGATCAAAGACTTAGAGGCATACAGGTTACGTTATCTGAGGCTAGAGTCCATTCAATAGTCTCATAATGGTTGGAAAGAAACTGTTCCTGAACCTGCTCGTGCGTGCATTCAGGCGTCTGTATCTTCTGCTTGATGGAAGAGGTTATAGGAGATCATCACCAGGGTGCGATGGGTCTTTGATGACATTGGCCACTTTTCCGCAGCAGCGGGCCATGTAAATAGAGTCCATGGATGAAAGGTTGGCTTCCGTGATGGTCTGGGCTGTGCACACCACCTTCTATAGTTCATGGTCTTGGGCAGAGCAGTTGCCGTACCAGGCCATTATCCACCCAGACATTATGCTTTCAATGATGCATCTGCAGAAGTTGGTGAGGGACCTTATGGACGTGCTGCCTGAGGAAGAAGAGGCGTCGTTGTGCCTTCTTGACTGTCACATTTACGTGGGAAGTCCAAGACAGGTTGTCAGTTATCGTCATGCCGAGGAACTTGATGCTCTTTGCTCTCTCAACCTCAGTTCTGTTGATGTAGATGGGGGCGTGGTCTCCTCCTTTCTTTCTGAAGTCAATGATCAATTCTTTAGTTTTGCCAAGTTGAGAGACAGATTGTTTTCATTGCATCATGTCACAAACCCTCTATCTCCCTTCTGTATTTTGACTCATCATGGTTAGACATCCATCTTACGGTGTCGTCAGCGATCTCGTAGATGGCGTTCGTTGAGAATTTGGCAACAGACTCGCAGATGTACCGAGAGTACAACAGGGGGCGAAGGATGCATC